GCGTGTTATTTGGCAGTCTAAACTCTATTTAAAATTTAATGATTTCTCCCTTAAGTTTATGTCCTCTTCTTTATTACACATGCACATAGGAGAGAGAAAAAAATTGAATCATCGCAATTTAACTGAACGAGAGGAATCTACCCCAGAAGACAATGATGAGTAAGTTTGTTGTTTTTGAAACTACTTATTTGTGCCTTGCAGGAAGAAGTTCATGGTTGTTAATATGATAATTTAAGATAAATCATTTTAGAAATGAATGGTTTATTCCTTAACTGAAATATTCTTTCTTAAAGAAATACAGAATCTTAGTTGTGGTGTGCTTTTTGGTACTCATACATTGGCAATATATGTGATGCCTGTTTTAATATTCTGTGACCCCAGTTCTCCCAGCCTATGTATGCGTACTAGACCAGGTAGGGTGAAACTGAGGAAACCCCTCATCTCAGATTGGCATGGATGGAGCAGTAACACACTGGGAACGTAATGTCTAACAAATAGGTGGCTCCATGTGGAGCTGGGAACATGGCGAGGGCAGCACAGTGAGAGACTGGAGCCCAGAAGGCCGGCTTGCCAGCAGCCAGCTCAAGATACCAGGAAGGAGATGCCAGCTTCTAATCTAGAAGGTTTCAGGGTCTGCCGTACTCGGTGCAGTCGCTCCAGATTCAGTGTTTGGTCCTACACCAGGTACAGATTTAGAAACTCAGGTATAAGATACAGAAGCATGAAAAACTAAGCTTTGCTGATCAGTCTCAGGAGAAACACGTATAACAGGGTTGCTGTTTCATTATGAGAACTTTATTGATAGAGCATCTGATAGCAGTTACTTTTTCAGGGCACCCTCCTCTGAAAGTCATTCCGTTCACATAAAAAAGAGTTCTTCAAGGATATTTGGTAATCTAAGATTTAGAATTAAGGAAGTAACATGTTTTAAAAAATATTTTCATTTAGCTAGATTAGCTGTATGTATTTCTTTCTGCAAAACAGAGGCATTTCTGCCTAACTGATACCTTCCGTAAAAGACAGTGCTGTCACTTGGCTATCAGTGTGGGGAAGATCATACCTGACACCACACACAAAAATCAATTCCACATGGACTGTAGGCCTGGCTGTGAAAGGTAAAAGAATGAAACGTTTAGAGGGAAATAAAGGACAGCTTTTCATAACCTTGGAGTAGGTAAATTACCAACTATAGAAGAGAAATATTGATAAATTATATTGTTTTACAACTTTTTTGAAAAAGAAACATTTTAGGATGTGCCTGTACTCAGTGGTTAGGGCACTGGTCACATGCTCCAGGGCTGGTGGGTTCGAACCCGTCCGGGGCCTGCTAAACAAAAACAACAACAACAAAAATAGGCAGGCATTGTGGCGGGCGCCTGTAGTCCCAGCTACTAGGGAGACTGAGGCTAGAGAATCACTTAAGCCCAAGAGTTGGAGGTTGCTATGAGCTATGACCCCTCAGCACTCTACTGAGGGTGACAAAGTGATACTCTGTCTCAATTCAAAAAGTAAAAAAAAGAAGCATTTTAGAGTGTGAAAATACAGCCCACAGAGTGTGAAAAGATATTTGCCTGACAATCCAATGGAATAATGGACAAAAGATTTGCACTGCACTTCTCAAGAGAAGGTGTTCGTGTGAACCAGCCCTC